CTACCAAGCACCTAAAAAATACCAGTTTTAGGTAAAAATGTATCAAAAATTATTACCAAATTTTGAATTTCTTTCGACACTTTTCAAATTCAGCTCTTGGAAGACCAGGACCTAAAATAACATATAAATATATAGGCATATAGTTATTTAAAAATATAACAAATAATGATATAAAGGGTGCTTCATTAAAAATTATAATTATTATTGGTTATATGCTAATTGAAGAAACCTTAGCCCAAAATTTGAAGATTTAACCCAAAACATTTAAGGGAAATGTGCCTCCTTACTAAGGTCAAGGTGTTAAAAAATATTATTCAATAAAAAATATTATCTCATATTATTTTAAATTACTATTTCTTTACAATATTGTAGTATAATAAAGGCAGAAAGACCTCAGTCGATAGCCTTTTGGTTTGCTAATAAATATATTTACTACTACTATTGTGGTATAGTGAGGAACCAGTTCTTTCTGATATTATGCATATTGGACCACTTACACTATATGTACCAAATATGGTAAAAAAAATATTATGTAATTTTAAAATAATATTTGATATTTTTTTAATATTTAACACCCTGTATCACAGTAAGGAGGCACATTTCACCTAAGAGTTGTGGGTTAAATCTTCATATTTTGGGCCAAGATTTATTCAGTTAGCATATAACCAATTATTAATAAAATACACTCTATTTGCTGATTCTAAACCAAATTAAAATATATGCACTAGTAATTGTGTTTACACTTGATATTTTATTCAAAATGTGTAATGAGGTGTTTTTGTGTCACTCACATATGTGTACCGTAACACTTTTACAATAGTACCAATAATATTTAAAAAAGAAACTTCTGCTAAGGCTTAATTAATTTTTTTTTAAATCGTTAAAAATCCTTTTTGTTTATAAAATTTGATACATGTGTCAAATACCTTCCTAGTTGTGTTTTTTATTTAAGCACAAAGTAGGTAGGTCTTGTAATCAAAATTGGAAAATAAAAATTTGATAATTAAAATGATTTACAAAATACTATAAGTAGGTAACCTACAAATTTACCAAAACAAAAATATACCTTTTGTAATAATAAGAATATTATAAAAGCAACTAGGTAATACCTAGTAGGTATATAGTGTTAATTTTTAAATAAAATGTACTACTTAAATTGATTGAGCATTGAAAATTTCGAGAAAACATCGTTAAAAACTTACATGTATTAAGGTTTATTTACGTTGTTATTTTTATTCAAAAAACGTAAAAAACCATTCCAATTCCATGAAAACTTGGTTTAATTAAACACTTCATAAGTTTTATTATAGAATAATAATATTCTATTTGTTTTATTACAACTTTCATAACATTTGTTTAAGGAAAACATGGAGAAAAAAACCGAAACGGTTAATTCTACGTATTTTTTAATAAAAACGCGGTAGTGATGCTACATTTAACTTAAACATGCCTATATCCACCTAATATAATGTTAAAGCAGGAATTAACAATTTTACTTACCTAAAACAAAGAAAATCTTGGTTAAAATATTTCACTCAACACAATTACAAAGCGGTTCAGCCATTTGCAATTTACCACAGCTGATAGAGAACGGACGGGTCAAAGAACGGGTTGGTGAACGACCAATCACAACAAAGGAAATCATGTGTGGTCAAATCCCACCAATGGTTTACATTCACCTCGGTTTTCCAAGCCTGCTTGATTTATTTTACTGTTGCCTATTGTCAAATTCCCCTTATACCCCCCTGTGTAAAATTCTGGAAATCACATGTTGGCCATGAAGAGGAGATTAGAAGTCAACACTTGTCAAAACTTGAAAAAACAAAATTATGTAGTGGTGTAACCGTAGACAGAATTATGTCCAATGCCAGAAAATTAAAATCTAAGAAAATTCAAAGAATAAATATGCTGAATAGAAATGATGTATTATAATTAATGAAGAAACATAATGTAATGAAGAAGAAACATGAAAATAGTATGATTGCCTTAGCTTTAAAAGTGGAAGAATGGAATGCCAATAAAAAAAACCAACAAAGCGAAAAAAATATTATTGGTTAAGGGTTTTTATATTTATTTTGTAGTTTTATAGTGTTGTTTTGGTTATATTTAAGTAGATGTATAAAGTGTAATTTTTAGTTAGTACTAGGAAAATTAAAATATATAAATATGTACTTAGGTACATATCATGTAGGTACCTAGAGGTGTAAGCTACCAAATATCGTATTTTACCTGACTGATGAGTTTGGTTTAAAGAAAAAAGCACCCATAAGTTTCTTGCAGTTTCTTCTTATGTAATCAAAACTGCGGATTTTTAATTTTAAATTTAAATAAAGAACTTTAATATTATGTTTATTTTTATTTAAGTAGATCAACTGTAATTTCTAAAATTAAAATATATATATATTATATGTACACATATGTGTAAGCTAACAATTATTGTATATACCTAAATGATATGTATGGTTTAAAAAAACATCCATAAGTTTATTTTATTTTCTCCTTATGGGTTGTATTTAAAATCGCGGATTTCTTAAAACTTAGTTTAAATTTAGCCCAACAAAAATTATTTTACTGCTCATCTATGTACTGTATTCAAAATTTTAAAGCTGATCTTCAATGGGGTAAGTAGTTAAATTTTTCTGACCTATACTGGGTTTTATTAGAAGGGTTTTTTTAATTTTAAACATCTATGTGAAAACAAAATTTCGATTGCGTTAACCGTACACCAAATTCGAATGCACTTTCCTGCAAAGAATAAAACAGTTTCTATTTTTCCACCATCAAAGATGAAATAGAAATAACAATAGTTCCTAGAAATACAAATAACAAAAAACGTTTAAACATCCGAAAGCAAGTGATTTTGATATAAATCTAAAACAAGAATGCAAATCAGCCTTATCAGAATCATATTCTTAATATTTCTTGTGTAAATTATTATTATATCTAACAAATTCTCCAAAAAAGTAATGATTTGTTATGTTTATTATACTTAATAAACCTAATAAATCATCACTTATTTTGAAGGCTATATAATTATACTATCTAAAAATAAAGAACGAACCAAAACAATATTTAAAATCAAAATTCCCGCCAGCCTCTTCTCGCTGCCCTCCGGACACGGCCGAATACACAGAACATAATACTTCCGAATACTTCCGAGGTTTCCGTGATTTTTAGTGTCGTCTCTGTGGCCCACTCTGCGAAAAGTAAGCAGTGGGCCCCACTGCTTACTTTTAGCAGAAGCTATTTATAAAATTTAAATTAAATGTTAAACAGCACTATTTTTGAGAAATTATTTAACCATCAAAACACGTAATTTTTTACCTTAAAGACGTCTAAAATGGATAGTGGGGACCAATTCAAACCAATAGCGGTACCTCTGGAAAATCCAAATAGCTCTATTGGGAATTACCAATAAAATATATCTATAATATATCTATTGGGAATTACCAATAAAATACGATTAGTCTCTATCGGTCTGTATTGGGATTTTCCAGCGGTGTCGCTATTGGTTTGAATTGGTAATTCATGGTACAGATACCACTATTGAGACAAATTCAAACCAATAGAGCTGCCGCTGGAAAATCCCAATAGCTTTTCTATTGGTCTTTATGGGTGATTTTTAACAGGGATGTCACTTTTTGATTTTTATAAAGCCAAATCAAAGAAATTTTTGTAAGTTTAACATAGGCTATGTAAGCAAATGATGGACTTATTAATTTCTCTCTTATCATAAGATTCTTATATTCTGTAATGTCTATGGCACAATCCACATTGTGGTCTATGGTATCATCCCAGGTCTCTTCTAAAGTCATTTCAACGTCAGCTGCTGCAGACGTCAGTGTGCTACCTGGGATATTTTTTAAATTCCCCACTTATGAACTGACTATGCGCCTAAGGCAAAATGATACTCAAAATCAGCAAATTTACCCTGAAAAAAGGATCTATACAAAATATAGCGAATAAGTGGAAGTACTATCGCTAACAAAAAAAACTTATACAGCTATATTGTGGCTGTGTGATTCACACAGTGTGAATAAAACTTTTCCGTCAATGTCAAGCTGACATCGAGCTTTGTCACATCGATTATGACTTTTTTAACAACATTTTCAACCAAACAATGCAGAAGAACTCTGCCATTGAAGCCATTTGGAACGAGATAAAGCAAGACGGCGACTTCCATGCTTTGCCGTTTGCGGGCAGTAATTGACAAAAACAGAGGGATGACGAAATATTATTTTTTTTGTCAAACTTCAACCTAACTTTGTATTTAATTTTAGACCTTTCAAATGTGACGTATCATGTTAAATGCCATAATTACTCCAACGAAATGATAGAAAATCAGGAACACTAGATTTTTAAGCTGTAGGAGTTTTTTTTGTTAGCGATAGTATGTGGTTTTTATCATATACTTACATATCATATACTGTGGTAAGTATATGGTTTTTAATAAAAACCATAAAAAACATAAAACCATAAAAAACTTTTTATGGACTAGTGGCTCCCTCTCTTTAATTTTGTCTAAACAAATAATTAATCCCAGTGAGCGATGACGCAGTTAACACGAATGCCATTAACAAGCTTCGACTACTTTAACACAGATAGCGCTTTCTAACGTTTTTTAACATGAATGGCATTACGTCACACCTCGTCTATAGGTTACTTGTTTTTGCATTTTTATGGTGTATTGTATAATAGAAAGTAGATTGTATATTTGATGAAAGAATAAGGCGATATTTAATCACCATAAACACCCAATGCATTTCAGTTTTCTGTGATATTTAGTGTGTAGTGCGAAGTGTCAATTAGCGAAACAATCGATAGTGGTCAGAAAGGCCGGCGTTGACAACATGACATTTAAATGTATGTAAATGCACTACTATTACTACCTACTAGTTAGGATGAGGTTGTATTTATTAATGAAAAGTTGATAATTTCGGGTGGTTTTGGGCGAAAATCGACGTGTTGGAATTCGAACTGTTTGCTAAAGATAAGATTAGATGGATTTGGATAAGGATTCGGACGTGCCGCAATGGAAAAAGGATTTGATCGCTCGGCTGCGAAATCAAAACAGGCACACAAGCGTAGCGGACGGTGGAGAAGAGAATTACGGGCAACAACAACAGCTGTCCAGCGGCCCCTCTCAGCCGCAGCCGCAGCCGCTTGCAGTACAACAACCTACGCCAACGTGCACCGACAGTAGTAGTGAATCGTCTCGAGGTGGTGCCGCGCTCGAGAAATGTAACGCGGCGACATCGAAAATGGTTCAAGAAAAAGCGTGGATCGACAATTTGAAGATGGTGAGCGAGAAATACAGCAACGGCGTGCACCGCAAGGACTCGGATTCGGATTCCTCCGAAGACCTGCATTACGGGCCCGGCATCGTGAACAAACTGAAGAATAAATATTTGAGTTTGGCGTTGAGGGAGAGTAACAACCGCACGCGGCCATCTATACTGCGTAAAGCTGCTTCGTTGGAGAATATTTTGGACGACGAGGTGCCCAATGGGAACAAATCGGAAAATCGGCTGTTCCAGGGCAGGGTTAACGGATGCAGTGAAAATGCGAAGAATGTGCCGAACCGGTATCGGAGTGCAACACGCGGACTTGAGTTGAAGAGAGCGCGATCCGTCGAGGCGATCTCGATGTCGCATCACGACGAAAATAAGATCGAAAACAACCGGCAATCTTTGCACGAGGACATGCTGCTTATCTCGGAAGGAAATGACAAACCATTTAGTAAAAAACACGATAAAATTGTTGCGGAAACCGGCAACAGCGACAAGCAGAAGTACACGAACGTCGGGCGTGTCAACAGACCGAAGCGCGTAGCCCCAATGATGAACGAAAGGGAGAAACCGCCCGCGGACGTGGTCAAACAGAAAAAGTTGATTTTCGAACGGCGGCCGGAGACGCGCACCAAACCGCCGATTTCGACGGGCGACGTTGCCGCCAAAGTCGACACTTACAACAGCATCATCGTGAAAGCCAAAGCGAGCAAAAAGCCCCTGATAAAGCACAAACCCGTAATTAACGACAAAAAACCGCCTGCGCCGCAACCCCGCGCTCCCAAAATCATCGCCAACGACGACAAAGTTGCGAAAAACAAACCCAAGAGTCTGCAAGTGAATAAAGTGCCTAAAAGTGCCTTGATGAGCCCCATTCCCGATGTGTCTAGAATAGATTTTCCCAATCAAAAGGGCGACAAGGAGAAACAATTATCGGAGACGCCTGATTTGATCCTGACATCTAGTCCAATACTTGCCCCAGGCTCGCCAACATTCAAAAAGTCCACCGAGCAATTCCTCAACGAGGAAATCCGGGTTTGTTCGCCGGACGGGAATATTTTCGCCAGCCCCAAAGTAAGCCCAACTGCTAACGATAATGTGGATAGTCCTGGAAAAATTATCAAAGCAGCCGGAACTGCCGTATTTAACTTTTCAAACGCCCCAGTCGAGCAATCGCATCTGCCGATCAATAAGAACGTGTCGACCGCTAAAACCCCATTGGAAAAACCCCTGAAGATAGACGTGAACGGTTTCGGCCACAATGACGCCAAAAAAGTTCCTGCAAGCCCAAACGAAGTCATATCGCCGACAATCAGAAAAGCAAAGTTGGAATCGCCAAAGGCAAATCTAACCACGACGGAAATCGAGAAAAATCTTATCAATACAGCGAAGTCTTCCAGTGCAAGTGTTTCGCCGCCTAAACCAGCGGCCAGTGCCGTGCCGGAAGTGAGTAAAAATGTTGTGGTGCCTAAGGTGAAAAGGGCACAGGAACCGACCTCGACTACCGCCGTTTTCAATTTCACCGCGCGCAAGGATGTTCCCGATTACATTTCTAACGACAGGTCGCGCACCGCGGGAAGACCTGAATTGCCCAAGGTAATTGAACTTATTGTTATTGTATATTTTAAATTACCATTACATAGGTACATACACAGTAAAAACTAATATTCTTAATTTAAGAAAATTGCTATAATTGGAAATATATTTTTGAGTGAAATAATCAATTATTTAGTTTAAAAATATATCTTTCAATTAAGCTTTGCAATTTTCTTTTTCCAAGAAATAAAAAATCTTCGTTATCAAATAAAAGCTTCTTTAGCTAAATATTAAAATATTTGATTTAAGTAATATTTTTCTTAGATTTTAAGAATATAAAGGTATTTAATCTAATACAATTTTATTTTTGATTTAAGTATATGATTTATTTTATACTAAAATACCAAGAGTTTTAAGTCAAAGTAATATTTTTGTTTTGAACTAAAATTATAATTCTTTAAACAAATAATATGTATAATTGATTTAAAAATATAATTTTATTTTAAATATATGGTATGTTTAAAATATTTTATCGCGAGATTTTAGTAGCACGTGACTTATGGAACCAATGGGTTACCAGAAACTGTTTCGCTTCGGTATCGGTGCCGGTATTCTTTTTAGCCGCCATTTCGTTTATGTGTTTCCTCTGGTGTAGTTTATAAAAGTTTGTGCAAAAATATGGAAGAACTATTAGAACAATGTTATTTAGAAGATCTAATCCCCGTTTTTAAAGGTAGGTCATATGTTATTAATAATAATAGTAATATGTGTATTGTTATTGTTTTGCTTTTAAAATTATTATTATTAATATTGTAATATGTTATATTTAAAATACGGTATCGTATATTTTATCAGATACCGTATTGTTTATTTTTGTTTAATTTTAAATAGGAAGGTTTATCTTTTGTTTCATTTTATATGCGAATGTTTATTTTTTGTTATTTTAGGATTAGTTTCATGATGCTCTTGTAAATTTATATTATTTGTACCAAAATAATTATAATTAAATAAATATGGATTTTTAATTATTTAATGTATTATTTCTTTATTTTAAAAAATAAAACATACCTACTTAGTGGAGTTCTTGAACAATTTAAATCATGGTAATATATTCAAGCTAAAGGAATTTAAAGCTGTTATCTACTGTAGACTTAATCTACTAGACTGTAGGCAAAAATGTAATGTTTTTAAATTAATTCTGCAAAGAAGGATTAACTTATTAAAATGCTTATTTTAACTAATATAATATTACTATATTTATATATGTAAGTGTATAAGGTACATTCTTACTTAAATTAACTTGTTACATTATTTTAAACTACATTATGTATGTACATTTTGTGTGTAAATAAATATTTTAATTTAAATAAAGCCTATATAAAAGGATTTATTAAAAAATATTACATTTTTGCTTTAAATCTAAATTTGACCTTAAAGTAAGTATAAAAATTATTTAAATTAAACACATCGTTGCCTTAATATGACAGCATGAATTTCTTCCAACAAAAATATTATACATTTAAATCAACCATATGTTAAATTTTAACCAAAAAACATTATTTTTGCGTCAAATTTAATATATTTTTAAATTAAGTATATCGTAGTTTTCTCTAAAAAATATCCAATACTTACGACAAAGGCATTATATATTTACATAAAGAAGCCCAACTTTTCCATTTAAGAATATATTAGTTTTAAACTAAGTCATAACATGCATTTAATTTAAAGCGCGCATTTACTTTTTCTAAGATCATGATATATTTAAATTACAAATATAAACTTATCTTGAGTCTAATAGATGATTTATTTGTGGCTATTTAAAACAATGAATGCTTTGGTTTAAACCTACAGTATTTGACTGAAAGCATCTTTTTTTACTGTGTACATACTAGGGTGCCCGTTATTTACCAACTTGTTTTTTTTGTTCGCAGCGCCCCCTAAATTTTTAGTTTTTGACCTAAAAAAATTATTAAAATAATTATAAAAAAATATTCATACATTATATCACGAGAACTATGAATTTAATCGGTTAAACTAGGCTCAGTAGTTTTTTGTTTGGTTTTTCTTGGAAAATGTTGAATGCAAAATAATTTGATAATTAATGTTAATTTTTGTTTTTCAAACGTTTCAAATACATTTTACAAGGAAACCCCTTTTTCTTAAATTTTGAATTACAGCGCCATCTGTTGATAAATTGAAAAAAACTTTCAAATAAAAGTTATTCATTTTTTTATGTACTACCAAAATCTGTAAAAAAAATCGGGTCATCCCTTTTCACTTTCCAAAGTTACCCCCCGTTTCACACTTAAGGAGGGGTAGGGGGTGGCTAGCGGTAGCACCAAATAATGTCCCCTTTGGTCACATTAACCTTTAATTTAAGACATTTTTCCGTGAAATGTATATTTCTCGAGATATTGAGCTGTCTCAAGTTAAAAGAAACACCCTGTATTACCAATGTCAAATGTTTATAAATAGTTCTAAACAAAAGCTGTTTAACAAGGTTTTTATTTGGCAAAATTAGGTATCGTGATTGACTGTTTAATTCCTTAAAATTAAATTAATAATTTAAAGCGGAACGGGCGGGACTATTATTACAAAGTCCCGTCCGTTACGCTTTAAATTATTAGTTTTTAAGGAATTAAACAGTCAACCACGATACCTAATTTTGCCAAATAAAAACCTTGTTAAACAGCTTTAGTTTAGAACTATTTATAAAAATTTGACATTGGTAATATAATAGAACAATATTATTTTGTAAATAAAGACACGGCAACTGTCCTATCCGTTACGCGTGGAATGGCCCATAAGTTATGGCAGCCATTATAAACACAAAAGATGGTTGTGGTAACTCAAAATTTAGTAGCAAAGAAATTAGACGAAAATCTAGAATAATGTGTATTTTTCCCTATGTAAAACTTGCGTTTTTTCAAAATTTCCAGGAATAAGGAATGTTTGTTTTGAAATGTTTTTAGTTTTGAACTGCTGGCTGGTAATTCATAGTTACCCAACTGAAATATTGCAGTTTTTGTGCAGTTTTTGTGTTTGTTATATTCTCCAGAATAGGGACAAATCTTGAAACTCAGCTTTATCTTTTCAAAAGCCAAAATTATTTTATTTTTTCGTAATCAAAGTTTATTAACTAAGTCAATTACTTAAGCCCAACAACAAAAAAGCACAAGTATTTAAATTGCATGGCATTTATTTTGATGTTTTTTATAAATCATCATACTCCGAAGCTGTAACCGCCTTAAAATTACATTCTATTGTTGGGTCTATGATGTTAAAAATACATTTTAACTAAACAATTAATGCATATACTTTCCAAATGACTTTTAGAAAATACAACAAGATCCCCTTGTATTCAAAAATCATTTTGATTAATCAGTTTTTAATAGTTCTAACGCTGTATCCAATTAAATTCGTCATCTCCGAGGTGCAACTTTTATTTGCATATTATAATAATAGAGGGCGTGTGGTATTCTACAATGTTTGATGAATCTTCTAGAACAACTGTCATTAAAGCACTTGCAAACAAAGTGAAGTGAATTTCGTGTGATTTTACTGAAAAAATTGTCTTATTACTTGGTAATCAGGTAAGTACATTTATTAACATCAACTCCGAATATGTGTCGCATTTTGAGACTATTGAACTTAGGTATTTTTGGCATTAGTAGCGTGTAAATTTCGTTCTTTTTGTTTCATTAAACATTTTATTAAATTTATAGGTTAAGAAAATATAGCTTAAATACGCAATAAAGGCAAAAACATCAACTCCGACGCCGTCAACTCCGAAGCTGTTTTTGGCCTCGGAGTTGACCAAGTTCTTCGGAGTTGATTATGATTCTCCCCACTTGTTAGATTTAGGTGAAATTATATATAAATAGAGTGAAATACAATTACATATATAAGGTTTAATACATATATAATATAATATATATATACATATATATATATATGTATATTATATTATATATATATATTAAATAACTTTCAGAATGGGGAAATCTAAGAAGAGTGACGATGATTTAAGGAAAAGGAAAACAGAGCAACAGAGAAAGAGGCGGGAACTTGCTAAAAAAAATCCTGAAAAATATGAAAAAGAAAAAGAGAAAGAGAGACAAAGGTACCATAAGCGTAAAACAGAAGGTAAAATAAAAGGCATTGAAGAACTCACACCAAGACAGCAGCGAATCAAACGAAAAACCTGGAAAGAATGTTCTTATCAGTACAGGCAGAAAAATAAGAAAAAGAAACAGGCAATAATTCAGTTCATTCATGAAACAACCCCACCAGCCACACCTGAACCATATCATGGACAGCCCCAACAAGAACCGAAATCAGGACCAAGTAGAGCATCAATGCGAGGGCGAAAGAAGGTCAGAAGAGACAGGGCAAAAGCCTATAGAGAATTGAAAAAGGTGAAGAATGAACTGTCAAAAACTCAAAGAAGGCTAAATAAATACAAAACAAAATACTTCAGACTAAAGCAAGATGTTAAAAAAGATAGTCCAAACACAAAAGTTAATAAACTCATAAAAGGAGTTTCAGTACCATTAGAAGTAAAAAAGAAACTTTTGTTTAATGAAGTGCTAATTTCACAGATCTCAGAAAATTACAAAGAAGTTAAAGATAAGTCAAATAGGCAAAAATTTCGTGAAGTATTGTTAGGAAAAGATGTAAGAAAATATAGATGCTTAGGCCAGCTGAATTTTATGACTTATAAGGTTAAGAGGTCTCGAAATGCAGACAAAGCAAAGGGCATCAAAAAAATTAAACTCATAAAAGGAGATATAACATCTTTTATAGAAAAAGATGAATATAGTAGACTTTGCCCTGGGAAAAAGGATACAATTACGAGAAATGGGGTAAAAAAACAAAAAAGGTTACTTAACAAATCGCTACTAATGATATATAACGAATTTCGTCAAAGTGTTAATTATTTCATTAGCTATTCCACGTTTTGTAAACTCCGACCTTTTTGGGTATTACATCCTAAAATCAACCGAAGAGATACATGCCTATGTACGGTTTGTGAAAATGGAGAGCTACTTGTACGCAAATTAAAGCTTTTAAGTATTATCGAAGAAAACTGCCTAGAAAGGGTTTGCAAGTCTGTATGCTGTAACAATGAAACTAAAGAAAACTGTTTAAATAATAGGTGTACATTTTGTTTTGAAAAAAAGTTACATTTTAATCCATATCAAGCTGGTGATCTCACATTCTATGAAAAATGGATTACCAAGACTGTAGAAATAAACATTAAGGGGGAAATTAAAAATGTGAAGAAGACGATCAAAGAAAAAATACATTGCACAAAAGGTCAAATGATTGAAGTCTTTGAAATAATGTTACCAAAGCTATTAAAACATATTTATAACAGAAATCACCAGTATAAAGAAATTGATAAAATGAAAGTCAATCTAAAGGAAGGTGAAGTAGTTGTACACATGGATTTCTCAGAAAATTTTGCCTGTAAGTATTCTGCTGAAATCCAGTCGATGCACTTTGGTGGATCGCGTCAACAGGTGAGCCTTCATACTGTAGTAGTATACTATAAAAGTAAGGGCAATTTAAAGAAAGAATCTATATGTACCATGTCAGATTCATTGCGACATAACCCTGAAGCGATTTTGGTACATCTCAAAGCAGTATTTAAATTAATATCGGAAAAATTACCTAGATTGTCTACTATACATTTCATTAGCGACGGCCCAAGTACGCAGTACAGAAACTGTAAAATGTTTCAAATCATTGGATCTCTAATAAAAAGCTACCTTCCTGGTACCTTAAACAGCATTATTTGGAATTACACTGAAAGGGGACATGGTAAGGGAGCTCCTGATGGAGTAGGGGGATGTGTTAAGAGGACCGCTGACTCGTTAATAGCAATGGGTCACGATATTGAAAATTTTACTAAACTGGTCGACATGGTGTCTGAAAATATGAAAAAGATTAAAATTGTGTCAGTTCCTCAGCAAGAAATTGAAAGTCTTAAACTAAACATGGCCAATATAAAACCTTTTAAAGGGACTTTACAGGTGCATCAAGTAATCTGGATGAGAAACAAGCCTGGTTTACTAAAAATTCGTCGTTTAAGTTGCTACAATTGCCCCCTTGATTCAAACTGTCCTGATTATCACCTAGGAGATTACTATTTAAAAGAAAATCTCACTAAAGAAGCTGACCTACATAGTACTATCCCTGAACCTTCAACTTGTATCCTTTTACCATATATTTTATGTTATTTAATAACTGTGTAATTATTCTACATTTATCGTTATTCATTTATTTTATACATTTTTACTTTTAGATTATTTTATTCTACTTATTAATTGTTTGGTTTTCCTTAATAAGTGAATTCAGCGCATAATCGGAATTTACGTTATTCAGATATCTACAGTGACAGTGAAGATCAACAATCGGAACATATTGATCATAGCCCAAATGAAAGGGTCAAGTTTGGTATCAACCAGTTTTTACTTGCGAAGTTACCTGGAAAAAAAAGGTTTAAGTATTATGTTGGTGTGGTGCTGAGCATCGAAACTAAAGACTCTGAAACTGACATGGACATTTTTACTGTGAAGTTCTTAAGACGAAAAGATCACACATTTACTTTTGTATATCCTGAAAAAGAAGATATCTCTGAAGTGTATATGTCTGAGATAGAACATTGTCTACCTTTCCCAGAAATTGATAACCGCAATCACTATGTTTTTCATTTTAGTTTTGAGCCTTACTCAAAAGACTTATATTAATTATTATTGTAGTGGATATTAAAATAGATATAAGGGAAATATTTTTGTTACAAACCTACCAATTATAGTTTTTTACTAATGTTTATTTGCATTATTTCAGCAATATTTATAACAAAATCAACTCCGAGGTCAACTACATCAACTCCGAATCCCTACTAATTTTAAATTCATCATATTTTCAATATTATCAAGTATTTGTCTTTGTCATAAAATATACTATTTTTAGTAAACCCTGATAAGAATAACTGCATTAAAAAAAATGCGAATATTTTCACATTAATTTTTTAATAATGCGATACCAAATTGTCCCTAATTTGGAGAATGACCCATATATCGTTTTTTTATTTTCCTTAATATGCTATTTTGAGGCAGAACGGGATAATAATGGACCTTTGTTACCTTTAACAGCTGTTAGAGAGGTAAATAGGATTATTATTAATTATATATTAGAATATTTAACAGAATATACATAAAATAAGAATATATATACCAGAGACTGACTTTAGATGACAACATTTCTGGGTTTTATAGCTAAAAATGTCTTTAAAAATGGCTAAAACATACTTTTGGTGGTGCATCATATAAGTTATAAAAACTCTGACTTTTGACATTTTGGTATTCGAAGGTCCCAAATCTAGGGATCCTATGGTATTATTCAAGTAAACGCCCTGTAGTTGCACTACCACTTTCACTTGATGCAATGATTTTAGCATCACATTGACAACGTCGTTTCATTTTAAATTTACTATACAGGGATACCTTTACTATACGTACATACATAATAACTTCCTATTTAGGTTAACTAGCCAACTATTACTAAACATTGTTTTTCAATCATTTTGTGTTAAAAATTGTTTTAAAAATATAATTCAAAAAAGTATATTTTTTGGTATAGAATTGTTGTCATTATCCCCTGTATATAAAAAACCGAATTTTCTAATTTAAAAAGTAGAAAATACCTATTTAGATTTTAAAACTGCTTCATGTTAAATTTTTTCATTTGTTTAACTGGTTGGTAGCATTGCAATAAAAAGATAATTAATATAGAATATGCTAAGATGTGAAATTTGCATTTGGTATAATTGTAGGTATGTACCTAACTGTAAACGGTTTTAAAAAACGAAAAATATATGAATCGATAAAATGTAGATCAAAGTCCAAGTGAAAATTTACTGGTTTTACCAAAAAAAAGATAAATATCTGTTTTCACAAGAAAACCGAACTGCTAAGAATCTAAATATTTGTTTAATACAAATAAAGATTAATTTTAATCTGATTAGATATTTAATATCTCTTTTTATGTATCTACGTTAGTTACGTTTTACAAATGAACTCTGGACATAAATTGCTACTACTTTCAAGAAATTTATCAAATCGCATTTGAAACTGTATTACTATGATTAAAAATAACTGTTCATCGTAGAACCTGTTAAGTAATCAAAGTAGTCTTACCAAACATTTTGCAACGTCGGCGAAAATCTTTCATTTTCACTGACATCGACTTCCTTTAGGAAAAGCGGAAACTTTCACCAGAACATCGGATTGTTAACTGGATTTTTTAATCTATGATCTGCAAGCTTTGCTCTAAAGATGACATAAAAATGATTTCAGATTTTTTAATGATTAAAATTTATTTATTTTTTGTATTTTACGATGTCACGGTAAATAACTTCACTAATATTATTATGTATTTTTAACATTCTAATTGATATTCAAAAAAGAGAAATCCTCCAATAAGTCTGGACCTAAAAAAGATATCAAAAATTTCTCAAACCCGTTTCTAGGATAGGGGGGTTCCAGTATGACCACAAAAATGACCTTCACTAAGCAACCCCTGGGGCTGTAGCCACCCAACTCAATTTTTTTAAATGACAACACCCTCATTGCAATACCTCATTGGAAAGCTCTTGAAAATTGCTGTTTAACAGTACTAAACAAAATTCTTTTTAATAGTTTAATTTTTGAAAAATACGCAAAATTATTTTTTTTAATATTTTTTCCAATTTCTTGTTATAAATAGGTATCGAATTCAATAAGTTTTTGTCGTAAAAACATTACCTAGTAAAAAAACTGAAAACAAAATAATTCTAAAAAATATAATAAACTAAAAAAGCATAAATTATTCAACAATAAAAAAACAATAATTTTTATCTTTTTAAATTAAATGCTCAAATAGGCTTCCATTATTTTGTAAGCAATAAGTAGTTTAGTCTATTCTTAAATTTATAATAATATTATTATATTAATATACAGTTCATTTTTTTTATATCTGGACTCGTGTTTTTTTGTTAGGTTGGTGGCTTATGCCAGTTTGACTTAGTATTTTTAGTATTTAAAAATAAAGAATTTAATTAACACAGTGACTAGAGGCACGCTAACGTACCGCGATTGAAGTTACGTCATAATTATAATCCGTTTTTGTTCCCCGAGCGTTTAATATTTGGCAACAAGCTAGATAGCTCATATGGTAGGGCGGTCGCTTGGTATGCGAGAGGTCCCGGGTTCGATACTAAGAAATTGTCGAACTTTTTTTATTTCATAAATTTGTTGTTTCTTTGTTAAACAGTGTTCGGTTGGGTTGGGTTGGTTGGTTTGTTTTAGTTTTATCGTAACATAAAATCTACTAGAAGTTGTCGAACTTTTTTATTTCATAAATTTGTTGTTCCTTTGTTAAAAAGTGTTTTATTTTTATCGTAACATAAATTTGCCCATTTTAGTTGGGTTTTTTGCTCAATGGGGCGGGGTCGGTTGGGTTGTGTTGTTGAGTTTGGGATGGTTTGGGTTTATGACGTAAGTAACGTGCCTTTAACATTTCGAATCGCGGCACGTTAACGTGCCTCTAGTCACAGCGTTTAATTAAATACTTTGACACTGTCAAATTGACAATATATTTATTATTGACTATTTCCCTCGTCTTAATTTCCACCAATCACAAACGCGCAATTTTGTATTACAAATGGTTTCTAGGTGAAAAAACTGTATGACAGCACCTGTCAGCAGTTTATTCGAGTTTACCCGCGGCAAAACTTGACAGCTGTTGTCACCAAAAATTGCAATTTATATTTTGTTAACGGTTACTCATGAAATAGTCTTGTCAAATACCATTCGGGCATCTAATTTTTCCTGAGAAAAAAATCGAAAAAACACAATGCTAAGTAATATTTTTTAACAAAATGCATTCGTGCAGGTGCAAAAATCCTCCTCTTCGACTCGGATTTTTGTTCCCACCAGCACTCATGCTTTTTGTTAAAATATTACTTAGCAACGTGTTTTTTCGATTCTTTTCGGAAAAATTAAATGCCCTTATGATATTACTTACCATAGAAAAACTCTGTGTTACTTACGATAATTTACTTGTCAATTATACACGGAAAAAACTAAATGTCACTATTTAGTAGGATTTCTACTAATTTTTATTGTTTTAAATGTTAACGAGGAACCTCCCTCGGAATTTGTTACTTATTACAAAGTAAAATGTTAAAATATATATAAGCGGTTCACTAAAATATATTATATTTAAAAATAAATAAAACAGTATTAAAATATAATTTTTAACCTTTTAAATAATAAAATTCTCTATCTTGGCAAGTATAATTTAAAGGAAGAGTAACCAAAATGTGACAATGACTTTATTAAATATTAACTCTCAACTCTTAAATTTTATTATTTTAAACACTAAATATCTCCAAGTTCGATATATATAATTTCACATAAGACAACATATTTTTTAATTTTTAACTATAATAAATATTCAAATCTGAATTTTAAATTTTATCGTTTCAAACAATAAAAATATACAACCCTACCGATTAAATATTTACTTATAGAAATATAGTTATTAACGTTCGGTTCTGCATTTTTTAAATACTAATAAATTATTTTTTATAATGTTTTTATGTATTTATTATAAAATATACTATAAATTTTAATAATTCAATAATTAAATTATGTTAAGTAAGATCAATAAATAATACACTTTTTATAAATAGTAATTTTTATTTAAGAAAACCATAAAATCTATAAAATAAAAATAAAACTTAATTCTAGTTGGATGAATTTTTTACCAATAGTTTATTACATAATAATTTCCATTGCATTGTTTGGCTATATATGAAATGCCATCAATTTCATCTAAAGAATGAAAACGAAGATTTTTACTATCAGGATCGACACAATATGCTTGGTAATGCGCATCGAAATAATAACAATCCAAATGATGGGAAACAAAATAAATTTTTTTGTTTTCATAAAATAAAATATATACAATTTCTGAAAAAGATGGACCAAATTCAGTTAAAACCATAATTATATCATGAGGATATACATTTCTTCCTAAGCAATACGCATATTTTAAAGACACAAGTTTTTCACATTTAATTTCAGTCGGTATTAATGAAACAAATTCTAAAAAATTATTCAATTTATTAATTGATTGTTGTTGTATAGGACCAGGATCGGGTAGGCATTTTGAGACGGCTTTAGTGCATAATTTATGGTGTAGCGTTAACTGATTTTTTATTGCTAGTGTATGACATATATTTTTTCTCGAAGAAGTTGATTGAGCACGAATTTTTGCATTTCTGTGAAAACTTTCTCCCCTCATCGAAGAAAAATGTATAACCGGGCCAGCCAATTCCATTACAAGCGCATAATGGAGTAAATGATGGTGTTTTGGTTTTTGATTTTTTTTAATAACACGCTGGTAAAGACCTAAATGATCTGCAATAAGTGTTCGTAGTAAATCAGGACATTTATAATGAAAAGATTTAGCTTGAAGTATATTTAATATTTCATTGAGAGATAAATAAAGAGACCAAAATTCATCATCTTCCGGAATTAAATCACCTATAAATAAACCAAAATGCCTCATGAAGCACAGAGTTTCAGACGCAGATAATTTAAGATGCAATTTTTTTATATTTGAAGGAATTATTTCCGGTGGTTTATTTTTACGCTCGCTACGATTAAAAGAAAAAGCGTCGATCCGGTTGTTTAAAATC